AAAACAAATAGAATATCAATTAAAATATAATTGGTTGAAATGTTTTAACAAACTGAGGCAATGGTGGAAGACAAGAAATTTAAACAATAACTGCCTGGTCAATTCACTGGAAAAGGTCAATATTTATAACCATTCCAAGGAAAGGAGACCCAATACAATGGGGTAAACATTGAATAATATCATTAGTATAACACACAAGCCACATTTTGCTGAAGATAATTCAAAAATAGTTGCAGCAGTATATAGATGGGGAGTTAAAATTAAAGCCTGGTTCAGAAGATGTGGAAAAAGTTTTATCGTTGCTCATGCCATGTGGATCCTGGCTGAAAGCACAGAATACCCAGTATTGAAAGTACCGGGCTCTTATATTCTAGGTATAACACCGGAATGCAAGTGTATGAATTAGTCTTTGATCTTATTTCACGGTCCAGCTCTCATGTGCATACCTGGTCATTGTTTTCCTTCGGTCAGCAAGACCTTAGTCCTTAAAATGACATCTTTGCCTTTGACCCTTTAAAGTGGTCTTTTGCAGCAGATTGATCCAATGTCTTTGATTTCTTGACTGCTAATTCCATGAGCTTTTGATTGTGGATCCAAGTGAAATCCTTGACTATTTCAGATGAATAAAGGTGTATATACCCATGTTTGGAGTACATGAATGGAAGAACACTCACTATTAAAGAATTGAATTAAATAATAACAATATGTGCAATACTTCATCAGATGAGGGAAACCTGGAGGACTGTGTGCTGAGTGGAGCTAGTCAATAACAAAAGGACAAAAGTTTGTATGAAACCACGGCTGTAAAAATTGAAGGAAGGATTTTCACGCTGGAAGGAATTCTTTGATCGCTACTAGGGATGGAAAGTGACTGGTAAGAGGGTAGATGAGCGTGAACTTGGGTGCAGAGGAAGGCAACAATAAGAATGGGATTGACAAAAGAAAGGAAGGGGCTAGGGAAGATGCTGGGAAGTTTGTAAGAGTTAAAGGCAAGAAGACCAAGATGAGGATGAAGAAGAAGAAGAAGAGAAATGGAGGGAGGGAGGGAAGGAAGGAAGGAAGGAAGGAAGGAAGGAAGGAAGGAAGGAAGGAAAGAAGAATAAACAAATCTATCTGGGAAGAATTAGTGCCAAAATGCACATTGGAAGTGAAGACGGCTAGACTGAGTCTCACATACTTTGATCATATTATCAACTGACACCAGCCCCTGGAAAAGGACATCAGGCATGGTAAAGTCGAAGGTCAGTGACAAAAAATAAGATATTCAATGCTCAGTGAGGTTGGTTGACACAGTGGTTACAGTCATGGGCACAAACATAGTAACAATTGGGAGATGCTACAGGACTGGGCAGCGTTCCATTGTTTGACATAAGGTCCCTATGAGCGGTAACTGACTTCAGGGCACTCAACACTAACAACAATGTGTGCCCCTACAAGCTGGACAATGAAAAAGGAGGACCGAAGAAGAATCGCTGCCTTTGAATTGCGACATTGAAGAGTAGCAATGAATCTACCAGGGAATTCCCCGAGGACGAGCAAATCTGTCCGGGAAGAACAACCAGAATGCTCCTTCATTTCACATGATTTGGGCAACTTATCAGAAGGAGCCTGTTCCTAGGGAAGAACGGCGTGCTTAGCAAAGCTAAGTGTCAACGAAAAAGAAGACTGTCAATGAAAGGGATCCAAAAACCTTGAAAGAGTCTCAACTCTGCCTCTTTTCTCTCATTCTGAAGAGTCCCATGACGGTGCTGCCTATCCCTCTGCTGTTCCCTGCCTTCGTGCTGTCTCACCTTCCGACTTCACTGAAATCACCTCTTCAACATTTCCTCCTCAGTGAGGCTTTCCCTAAACTCCAAAACTATCATCCTCCCCAGCATACCATGGCTGGGCATGTCCTTTATCGTGACAATAAGTACCTGAAATCAACATGCTCACTTATTATTTCCTGTTAGGTGAGCAGCCCTCCTCCACCCCACCCCCCACCCCGGACCCCCCTGCCCACCCACCCCCACCCCCATCCTCTCAAAGAATGAGCTCCTTTAGAATGAGATTCTCCCTTTGGTGTTCTTTTTAAAAAAATACTTTTATTGGGGGCTCTTACATCTCTTATCACAAATCCATACATTCATCCAGTGCGTCAAGCACATTTGCACCTATGCCGCCATCATCATTTTCAAAGCATTCTCTTCCCACTTGAGTGTCTGATATCAGCTGCCCATTTCTTCCCCCTCCCTCCCCCAACCGCCCTCCCTCATGAACCCTTGATAAGTTATAGATTATTCTTTCCATATCTTGCATCATCCTCCATCACCCATCACCACTTTCCAGTTATTCGTCCTCCTGGAAGGGGGTTCTAGATTGATCCTTGTGATTGATTCCCCCTTTCTCTCCCTACCATCCCCTAATCCTCCTGGTATCTCTACTCTCATTGTTAGCCCTGAGGGGTTTATCTGTCCTGGATTCTCTGTGTTTCAGGCTCTTATCTGTAGCAGTGTGTATGCCCTGGTCTAATCTGATTTGTAAGGTTGAATTGAGGTCATGATACCGTGTTTCCCCAAAAGTAAGAGATCCCCTGAAAATAAGACCTACATACAGTTTTGCCTCTCACTGAAATATAAAGCATCCTCGAAAATAAGACCTCCCCAAACATAAGGCCTCCCCAATAATAAGGCCCCCTGAAGTTACCGTAACTCTGGACTCTGGACCATAGC